CCTGGCCCTCAGCTAATATTCCACATGTTACAAAGGAGATATGTGTGTGCACATATGTGAAAGTCATTATGTTGGTTTTATTAGTCATCTGTTACAGAGATTGGTTCCAACAGAAAGTTTGGGCTCCAGATCTGAACTCTCTGAGGAAGGACAGTATCCAGGACTGAACTTTTGACTCAGACTGGCACAAAGATAAATGGCTTTTGAATCCAGGTTTTTGGTTCATTGACTCCATTTGGGTTTCCTTGGTTTGTTTAGTGCAAGAATTCAGCCTGTGAGATGAAACGTAAACCCATCTAAACTTATCCTGCTGGAACAAAATAAAAAGTTTCAGTGTGTGTTTGTAGTGCATTGTTTTCAATCTAATGCTTTCAACAAAAAAAATCTTCTGGGTTCACGTGTTTCGAAACATTCTTTTTAAAGGTTTCCCAACTCTACTGTTGGTACCCAATAATACTACAAAAACAAAACAAAGCAACAAATTAACAAAGTATAGGAGCCTTAATTTTTAAAGGCTGAATCCTTAATAGTGTATAACTGTGCCTCCCTCTGAGAGAGACTAAACTTCTGTAGTCAAAACCAAAGGCATCCAAAATTATTAGACACTTTGTTAAGTCTTAGTTAAGAGGTCTAATGAAAATATGATCAGGAGCCACTTGCATTTCACACTTTTCTTATACCTTTATTAAAAAAGACTACCTGGTTGTCAGTGTTAGGTGTTGAAACAGATTTTTGTATATTTTAGGGAGAAAAAGATACTGTAGAAATTTTCAATCCTTGGCATTTTTGTAGACCCAACTTCTATTTTAAAACAGGTCATTTGGTGCATAAACTGAATGCCCCATTTCAGTTCAAATGCAGAACACAAGTTCTAAAGACATTAAAAAAAAAACCCACCAATTTTCAAGCCCACATTATGTTTTTTTTTTTTTTGGTGCCAGGCACATGACCTTTTAAGGCTTTATTCTGGTAATCCTCATTATTTAACTTTTGGGAGATTATTCAGCCCTCATTGAGGTGACCTGTTCTCCTTTGCTCAGTTATGAGAGTTATTTGGGTTGTGTTTGTGTGGACTTGGGGAAGCAACAAGAATGAAAGCTCCTATTTTCACCTTCACTTAGCAAAATTAAACGTAATAAATATAAGTCTTCAGTTGTTATACTGAGTTATTTTATATAATGTTAGATAAGTACATCTACAGATAAAATATTTACACTTTTATCTACACTTTACTCCTGCCTGTATTTTAGTGAGATGGCAAATAAGTAACTGTAATAAAAGTGGAAATAATACTTGAAAAAATTCCTTCCTTTTGATTAAATTCTCTGCAAAGAGTTGTGAAGAGAGACAATCACTGCAGTGACAGCAGTGCAGTGACCTGGGAGGTCAGAACTCAAAGGTGCAATTAAGACACTCTTGTCCTAAAGTTCTGCCACTCCAGTATGCTCTTCTTTTTTTTTTTAAGCTCAATTAGCACTGACTACTGGGAAATGCAGTGATGGACATCAGAAGTGGGCCTCAAAAAGTAGAGATGTACAGGCAAACCCATTTCTCGCTGCTGGAGAAAACTGGGCACGTTCAGGGTGCACTTCATCGCATCCTATACAGGATATTTCAGCCTGGTCAAGGAGTGTCACGCTGGGGATGTGCCTGTTCTCCCCACTGACTATAAAGAGAACATAATGTGAGCAGCTCAGATATGGATATGGTATCCCAAGCTGTAAATATCTAAAATTAGCTAAGAAGAATGTCATCCCCAGTCTCTTATTGCCTGATTGATCATTATACAAGTGTAAATAATCTGGCATCCAACTAATGAATGTTTCATTTCCTCGAGCACATGCTCTGACCCTCAATGAAGAAATCTTTGAGAGCTATCTTTGGTTTACAAGCTGAGCTGGTATTTCAAGTTGGGAGGTATTAAATTAGTATTTCTAGAAGAATCTGCTGCTGACCAAAGGCACTGAGGGATTGAGATAAAAGGATAAAGTTTGCAGCCTTCATGGGGCAGCCTGGTTAGGGAGTCAGCTGGAATTTTAGGGGAGAGGTGAGCTGAGAGTTAACACCCTCCAGCAATGAACGAGAAGAATTAAAAAATAAATAAAAATACTGCCAGGTTCTCCTCTTTGTATTTGGAGGGGGAGAAAAAAAGGGAGCAAACAAAGGGTTACAACTTTGACAGGAACTTCTGAAAATACTAATTATGAAAAACATGAGTGCTTATCCCCTGTGACCCACTAAACACTGCTAACCTCTTTTATTATCTCAACACTCTCCTACTGACTTCTGTGCCCTTGTGAGGACAGCAAACCTATTACTTTGCTGCTTCTGATTAGGCCCCTGCCATCCCACGGATCCTGTATATGCTCCATTTGAAACCCGTGACATTTCCATGGAATAATACCGAACCCAGAGCACATCCAGAAAGTAAAACCTCTGTACACCTGTTTACAGAGGCCATGGCCTGCAGATGTAAATTAATGGGGGCCTGACACCTTCAATACCTGTTTTCTATGGTCTCTGCTGCAGTAGGGTCAGATTCCTAAGACCTTTAAATTACACCACAACACAATAAAGAGCAAATAATACTTGTGAGTTTATGCATACTGTTGGAAAGTAAAATTTTAATACAATAAAGTTGTAAGCATCACTTAAAGTTTACTATTTTGGCAGTAAGTTATGGCTTTAGCAACAAAAAAAACCCCAAGCGTTTATGAAATGCTGGGTTTGCAGCAGGCAGGCAGGGTTTTTTTCAGAAGGAATTGGTATTTCCAGGCAGCAAACACTCTGTCAGGGTGGTGGTAAGCTGCTCAAGGCATGATGTTTAATAATGACTCCTTGCATGGTGGGAAGTCTGACTGTCCATCACAATACAGTTACAGATTACACAATAATCTATAAACAGTTTACAGTGGGATGGTTTGCAAACGCTCCGCTAAATACAGAAGGTTTGCATGTGTGTCTCTGTTTACTCTGAGGGGAAGTTATTTAGAAAACCAAGAATGAAAAGTTTAACAACGAACAAAACAAAGATGGATTGTTCACAGTGAGCTTTCCGAAATATTTCAGTGAAGCATTAAAGTAGCTTTTAACTCTGCTGGCAGGGGCTGAACCCTCCCAAGAGCTGTATTTGGAGTTGCTGCTGACAGAACTCATGTTTGGGAACAGGTTAGTTGGTAGACTGGTAACTTAGTTAACAGCAGATGTGGATATTTGTTTTAGAGAGAGTTGTTAAGTTCAGGAGCAGAAATTTTCTGGGTACGCTTGAAATAATGCGGGAAGGGAGAGCATGGATTTCCTGCCTGAGTTATTCTTCCCTCACCTTTCCCAGAGGAATAAAGAGAAAAGCCATGCCCATAATCACATTCTTGATGACCTGGGACTATCAAGTTCCCACTGTACAATGCCCCCTCTCTGCTACTGATATCCTTAACTCACCTCTCAGGGAATGCAGAGCAGCAGTAGCTGAACAACACCCTGGAAATCCTCAGGGAAAAAAGGTGCAGCACAAGTCAAAATGAGTTCTCTTGTTTTTCTCTCACTTTGAAACATCTGTGCCCAGGTTACAGAACAAGCTCAATTCTGCTGTAGGTCCCAGCCTTGCTCACATCCCTGGAAGTGTCCACGGTCAGGTTGGACGGAGCTCTGGTCTAGTGGAAAGTGTCCCTGCCCATGGCAGGGTTTTGGAACAAGATGATTTTTAAAGACCCTTCCACCCCAAAACTGTGACTCTGTGAGTACCATGCAAGGCCCTGGCAAACTGCAGATTATAGGGGACCATTCACTCTTGAAGCCTGGGATGAGACCAACTAATGCTGTGGGAAAATCCAGCTACAATTGCAATAAAGTAGCATAGAACAGGAATTCCCACCATTTACCACTGGATATAGATTGGGCAGAAAGCATCCATTACCACCAAGTAAATCAAACCAGAAGTTTTCAAGAGCCAACCCTTTAGAAAAGACCTCTTTCCTTAAAAAACACAGGAAAAAAGCTGAAGCCATGGCAGAGATTAGATCCTGCAGTTTAGTAATAAAGTAAATAGGTGTTTAACAGCCTCTCAATAAAATTCTCAAGAAAATTCTTTTGAAGGAGGAAACTGGCAATTGTTTTCTGAGATTTCTAAATTGCTTTAAAAAAAAATAACTACATGCAACGATGACGTTAAAAGAAAAACAGAACAACATCAAAGACAGATTAAGCACATTTACTTTCCTTTAACATAAATGCACTCACACACCCCCATGCACACTCTTTGATGACTGGCATTTACTGGAAGCGGTTTCAAGCAATCTTTAAAAATTTCCTCCTGCACCAAACCCTCCAATCTCGAACTCTGGAGGGCCATTCCAAGCCCCTCTGCAGGAACAGCTGCAGCTGGGGAAGACATTTCTCCTGCTCAGCTGTTCAGTGCCCCTTCTCGCCACACCCATGTATCCATCAATCACACACAGGTCATTTGAGAATCCCTCCCGTGCTCCAGTGCACAGCCAGCCTTAATCTGCTCCTGCAGCGCTGACTGGGATCCTGGTGAACAGCATCTGAACCCTCTCCCTCTCCAGCTCGAGGTCCCCGTGCTGGGTGACACCCGAGCTCTCCCATCACCCATCCTGGCCCTTCCCCTTCAGGGCTTTTTTTCCCCCAAGGACATGAAAGTTATTTAGAGGCTCCTCTCAGACAGCAGAAATTCGAGCAATTTTCTGTGTGGCTTGCTCACCATCCTGATTCAGCTGTAAATAGACTCCCAGCTGAAAGTCCACGTGTACCATCTTTTTAAGCTGTACCAGAGCTAGAGGGATGCAGGCTGACATGCACTGATGCTAAAAGCCCAGAGTGCTGCACTGGGATTCAGATATTTCCCTTTGTCAGAAAACACAGTGGGTTTGGGGGAAATTCTGGAGGAGAGACATTAACCCTACTGAGTCCAACAAAACTCTGCAGGTGTCTGAAATTGGAAACGTTTTCCAGCTGCAAGTAACGTTGCATAAACATGTGCTTACCTGCTAAAGGGAGAAGAAAACAGGGTTGGATAGCAAATAGGGAAGACTTTGCAGCAGGTTTCCGAGAGTCACAAGAAAATTCTTGACAGGTGACACAAATGGGTTGAAAAAATTCAGCCCCTTGCAAAAAAGGCAGCTCTGCAACAACAGATGAACAGAAAAGCAGCATTGCAAATATTGCTATTCTGGAATATGTTTCAAGAGTGCACTAATAACCCCCCAATGCCATACAAAGAAGTAAAATAAGCATGGTAATCAGTGCTGTTCTACCTCATCACTGACACAAATATTTCTTCTTGTACTTTCCCCCTTTCTGTTTTATTTTCTTCAGGGGGAGCAACTAATTGGCATCAACACTGAGAGCTACACTTATCACTAAAGAGGGTAAGGGAGTTTCCAAGAGCACACATGGTGCAAGTGGTTCTGTGTTCCAGCACTAAGGAGGTGACATGAAGAGGTTTGAAATATGTTGCACGATCTGCTGTGATCACCTTTGGAGAGCAGTTGTCCTGGAAGGCCCACAAAAGTCTTAAATGCATCATCTGGAAACACTGGAAATTCCTTCTTTAGGGCTTCAAATTATTCAAATTATTCAAATGTCACTGCCTGCCCTGCTCTGGTCTTGAAGTGCCTCTCTAAGATGACTATTAACACAATAAAAACACCAGATTGGGTAACTTGGTATGGCACAGAATTTAAAATTATGTGACTTCTAACCCCAATACAAATATCATCACAATTTAAATTTTTTTTTTAATCACTGGTCAATAAATATCAAACACTATTATGAAAAAAAATTGCATATATATACACACATATATACATATATATACAGACATATATACATACATATACACAGTGGTATTCACATGCATCCACACTCTGAGTACAGCTCTTCATGCCTTGCACTTTGCACAGTCATTAGTAACACACTGCTAAATTTAACTAGAAATGTAGAGCTGTCCTGTTTGGCTCAGTTCACCCTGGGCACAAATCACTCTTACTTTTGTTTCATGGCATTTCACACCCACTTCCCAAGGATGTTGCTGCTTGAGTTCAAAAATATGTATTTTACGGTTAATCTTTGCTGTGCTTGAGAGAACTAAATAATCCCCTTATACTCCCACCTTTTGTCTGAGCTTCACTCTGTTACCACTTATTTTAGGGTGCTGGTTTGAAGCAGAGCTGTGTGGAGCTGGTTTTTTTGCCTGCAGTGTGTTCAGGAGCTCAGACACACAGCCTTGCAGAGAAACAGAGACATCACCCCCAGCCTGCAGGACACAGAGTCACAAACTGCTGCTCTGAGCACCTGGGGGCAAGGCAGGGAAAGCAACCTCTCAGTGGCACCTGGGAGATGACACATGAATGGATTTGAAGCGCGGGATGTAAACAAAACCACAAGATGTGAGCTTGGTACACTGGATGTGGACACACCGGACCAACAAAAACTCCTGGGGACACAGCTGGATGTTGCACCAGTACATGGAAAACTGCTTTAAGCAAACAAGTTGTGTCAGGGTAGAGCTTTCTTAATACAGCTGGGTTTGTACTGGGAGTGCCTGGCAACTGCCAGAGTGCTCAGGACACTGAGGGCTTCCAAAAGCTTCCAAAAGATCAACTGATCTCAGCTGGAAGTGGATACTGCCAAAGCACACCCCTAAAATAACAGGTCTCCCTCTCTGGAGACTTTCCAAACCCACCTGCACGAGGTCCTGTGTCACCTGCTCCAGGTGACCCTGCATTGGACTGAATGATCTCCAGAGGTCTCTTCCAACCTCAACAAGTCTGTGATTCTTATAATCAATTTTTGCTTTTTTTTCCCCTCCTGCTTAAAAGGCAAACTGAAGAAGATTCATCATCTTGTGTTCTAACATATAAGAGAAATCCCACTGATTTTATGGACAGATATTATGGACAAAAAGAGCAATAATAGTTAATTAGTTCCCAGAAGATTGAATGCTCATAGATAAAGAAATAGTGTTTTGCTTGGAGATCATGCTTTGACATTTCTATGCCAGCAGATAAAAAAAAAAAAAAGGCCTCCATTTTGCCTATAACCTGTGATAATTTGATTAGTCAGGATAATAAACTTACATCCCAGTGCTATTCTTCAGGATTTGAGGGGTCATTTCAGAATAAAATTCCACTGCCTTTTTTTACTTAAACCAACCTAACATTGAAGATCAAAGCTCAGCTGGTCCACCAATGCAAGCACGAAGTATAAATTATTATTTTTTTTAAAACTTGTGAATTACATTTATCTGGCTTTCATCTAATATCCTGTATATCTTAAACTATTTATAGAATCAGGGAAAAAAAAAAAAAAAAAAAAGAAAATGCCTGAAAAAAACCCCAACCCATGATGCTGCTGTATACTGTAATTAAGCATATTCCTCACTCCTGCTGAGCAATCAGTGGGTTACTTTGGCAGATAAAGCAAATGAAGAATTCATTTGTTATCAAGTACTGATACCATGCCTTAAATCAGGCATCTCCCAGAGGCAGAATTCCAGGACTGTTTTACAGTTTCCTCAGGCACACAGTGCTTACACACCCCTCCACCTGAACACAGGGAAAGCAGCAACTCAAGTCTCTCAGGAGAATCAACACGAAGGACCCAACATAATTCTGCAGGCACAACCATCAGGTTGTAGCTTTAGAGACTCCTGTCCAGCATGGAAAAAATCTGACTCCAGAGGGTTTTGGACCCTAAAGCTGCCACAAAATCCAGATTCATCTCAAGCTGCTCTGAGCCACAGGGCAGTGTCATTTCCAGGTATATTCTACATGTGAGGCAGAGGAGGAAAAGATGCAGCAAATGATTATTGGCTAATGATGCCACTTGAAAAAAACCCAGCTGTTCAGGAATTTGTTCAAAACCAAAATGCTACTCCTGGCAGAGAGTCTTGATGTCCAAATGTTAGAGAGTATTCAAAAATAAAGGGTAAAACACAGGATCATTCCTCACAAGTGCATGACAAATAATACAACTGCCCTCCCTTGCTAAGTGACTGCATTTTAAAATTAATTTATTTGTGACTGTGGGTGAAATTGATTTCTCCTACAGCATGAGCTTGCTCAGTGAAGGGAATGTCAGCTCCTCCTCAGGACTGACAACGAGAGCTGCTGTAAATCAGTCTTTCAGTGGAGCTGACAGAGTTGCCCCACTTATCACCTACTGCTCAGGCAGCTCCGGCCCAAGAAATCGGTCACACAGGCTCTAATTTCGGGTATTACTGTGCATGTCTTTCAATCCAGCCCCGAGTGGCCAGCAAATAAGCTCTATAATTTCAGTGACTGCAGCCTACAAAGGTCCAAGCCAAGAATCAAAGCACTGGTGATTGCAAATAAACTACAATCAGCCTGGCGGGCTGACGTGATCCAGGTCTGGCTGTTAAAACCCACAGCAGGACCATTAAGGACCTTCTCCTACTGGAAGATTTTACTTTGGGGCTGCAATGACAGGGCAGCTCGGCCATGGCTGGGAATTGCAAAGGCTCGCTCATCCCTTTCAGGATTTTACCAGCTCAGCTCAATCGACCAGAAGTGTGGAAAAAAAAGTGCATGGGAAGAATGAAGTGCAAAGACATGAATGCAAAACGCACCATCTGTACTCTTGGCTTCATTCCTCAAGTTACATACATGCAGATTTTCCTTTGGGCTTGCTGAGCTTTATTTCAGTCTATGAAGCAAAAGGCCTTTTGTGCTCTTGGCCTTCCCCTCCCCAGCCATTTAACTGGTCAGTCCTCAACTGGTCCCAACAAGCACAACCAGAGGGTTCACCCTGTGCTATCCCTGGCTTCCCAAAATCTTCCAGTCTCTGAAAGACTTTTTCTTCCCTTTTTGCCAGATATAAAAAGATGACACTATGTCTTCTGGACTTTCCTTCCTTGATCTTTCTCCTTTAAGAAAAATAAATTTCCTCTAATGGAATTAAAGCTCTTACTATAGCTTCAAATTATAACTAAAGGATGGATTCTGATGAATTCTGGCTACAGAAAAGCTCCTGTTGACTTTCCCTGGGGCAACATTGTACCTCAGACAAATAATTAGATTGTTTTTAAGGCTGACTTCTCATTGCTGATTTTTTTTTTTTTTTTTTTGCTGACAGCCCATTTCTGCTGCATGTATTGCTGAGTTTCTTTTCTGCTGCAATAGTGGCACTTAATCTGCTTTTATATCTCCGAGGACATAAACTAATGAAGATCAAAACCTAAAGGCAACAATTTTCCCTGAAAACCTTGGTGTTACTCTTAAAAGAAGTCAGATGAAAAAGCTGCAGAAAGCTCTGCATGAAAAGTGCCGATTTAACTCTGTGGCGACAAGGAAAAAGCTAAAAGACACCAAAACCAAAAATGAAAACGTAAAGCCACTCTCTCTTGAACAGTTCCAGGGAGGGCTCTGCCTTAATGAAAATCACAGAAAAATAATCAACAATTTCAGCAGGAAAAGACTAGAAAATCCTATTCATAGCGTGTATCATTTGAAACTAAATTCACATCAGTGCCCTGTTTAACAGGCTACCCATTTACAGGGCTCATGTGAAAGTCAACATCCCACAGTGATCTCAATAAAACATTAAAGCTTCAGGTTAACTCAGGGAGAAGAGTTCCTGGATGGGTGAGTGCAGCATAACTAAACACTGAAAGTTCCCTTTGAACTTTCCACAGGCTTTTTCAGGATGAGACAGAAAAGTCTCTCCTTTGCTTCCATTAGAGCACTCAAATTCATGAATTTTTGAAGCAGCATTTGAAGGGTTTTACTGGAAAAGGATGCAGTGAGTGTAAACAAGAGCATTTTGGAAGAATTTCACTTGAGCCCCTGCTGGGTCTCCTTTGCTGGCTCAGTCACTTCAGGCAATCTCAGGCACAGGAACTGTCAACTGCTTTACCCCTGAATTTGAAAACTGAACAAATCCAGGCAGGATTTTCTGCACAGCAGCTTTGCAGTATCTCTGCAGCAGCATTTCTCTCCCCACCAACCCCCCACCACAAAAAAAAAAAAAAAAAAAAAAAAAAAAAAAAAAAAAAAAAAAAAAAAGAAAAAAAAAAAGGCAAGCATTCCACTTCAGCTGCCTTTGCTTCTGACTGAAATGCCAACATTTCTTAGTGGCCTCCTTCCTCATTCCCAAGAGCTGTGGGAGGTGGGAAAACAAAAAAGGGAACATTTCAATGTGTCCCCCCTATTTATCAGCAATTCCTGCACCTCGGGGAGGTCCTGCCCACAGCCACCCTGCCCCAGCCCCGTGCTCAGCCTCTGCCTGCAGAGCTGCCAGACCACACAAAGCAGCTGCTGCTGGAGCCAACCTGCAAAACATCTGCCACAGACAGGAGCTTCCTATTAAGAACAATGGAGAGATTAAGAGACAGGTGGATCCTGGGCAACTACAGAGTCCCAGCCAGCTTAGTGACACAAATCTCACTCTTCTCATCCGACCCCTTCACTCCTGGCACAGCCAGTTTTGGATGGAGCATCAGGAGAGGGGGGGAGAGGCACCTGACAGCAGAGCAGAGCCAAAAGTGACTTCCAAGGCAGCAAGAATTTAAAGCCTGCGTGGCAAAAAAAGGAATGACAAAGTCCCAACCCACAACCCCCCCTCAACAGCTTTATCTGCCTCTTTTCACATATCTGCAGACTCTGCTGAATATACTCTAAGGCTCACCAGCATTATCATGGGCATCTCTACCCAAACCACCAAGCTTCTGGCTCAGCACCTTTCAGGCACACACCTCTCACAGGTCTATTTTTAGGGCAGAGTTGGGGTCACTTCTGGCCACTGTAGGGATTACAGAGCCAGCACTGGCACCAGACTGGAGACATATGCAGAACCTGCAGTGGAGTTTTACAAGAGATGCTCACAAGGCCCTGGCTGCAACGAAAAACTGTGGTTGGGTGGCATGGATTGGGCAAAAAGAATGGGAAATATTGTAATCCTCCATTCCTGTGGTCGCTAGGACTTCAGGGAAAGAAAAAAAAAAAAACTGGATAGCACTCCACAGTCAGGAATCCTGAAAGCAGAAGTAATTGTCACCTGCATTTAATAACGTGAGGGAAATAGGAAAAAAATTAATAAGAATAATAAGTAGGCAGCTCATCCTAAGCTCATTACAAATGGTTTCCCAGGCTGCAAAGAGAAATTTAAGAAATGATGACACTGCTACCCCTCCTGCTCCTCCCTGCTCTACCAAAGCAAGGATGGCCAGGGGCTCTGTTTTACTGTCCCTGTGCAAATCCAGTGGTGCCAAGGGGGGTGAGGATCCGGTGAAGCTGCCAGATGCAATACTGAGATACTTTCTGCTCCACCAGCCCTGCAGATTTGGAAGAAAGGTAGCAAATAGCTGCAGGCAGCAACTTCTTATATTTCCTCTGACGTTTCTACTACACTCTCGGACTCATAGATTGTGACTCTGCACGAGGCGACAGCTGCTTAGTCAAAAGCTTCCTGAGGAAACCCAGAAACATGAGAATACAGCTCCACAGCCTGCATCTGCTGCCATTCTCAAAGCACACACTGCTGCCTGAACCCCTGGAGAATAATGGGAGAAAAGGATATAAAAGCAGCATTTGACTCCTCTCTAGTGAGGATGATATGCCTGGATATCAGAGGATAAATTACTGTGGGAGGAGACAGACCAGGTCCCTCACCTCTGAGCTGACAAAGTTTGTGGAGATGTGAGTATTGGGCTTGGACTTACACAAAAGCTGGCAAGTTCATGGCTCCATCAATGCTCCATCACTGGATAAACTGTGCAGCAAAGTTGGGACTTTCGGTGTGCTGGAGGCCGCATGGAGGGAAAGGTTTTGTGGGAAATAAAACTGACCTTAAAAACAAGAGGTAAAGAGAAGTAGCAGCCGTTACAGGGCAAAAAGGACCTAAATTCCACTCATCTTTTTGTGTCCTGCCATCACTAATTTACAGTACTATAGTGCAAACACTAGGGATGTAAAAACTCTTATCATCAGCTCTGAGCAGTCATGAGAGACTCCTTGAGCTTCCAAACAATATCCAGTTTTTCAGCAATAACTCAGTTGCAGAGCTATTCTCAGGGATTAACAACAGCCCAAATGGTCCTTCAGATTCAGGAAGGGGCATTTGGCAGTGACTAAACTCTGGAAAATCTCTATCATCATTAGTAACACCAAGAGAGGAGTATCAAAAGTAGTGTTGTGTGGGCTTTTTTTATCTTAGGTACACAAGGTATTCTTCTGTTGCTGTCAACAGATGCTGGGTCAGGACCCAGGCTGTTATGAGACCACCTCGAAGAGCCTGCGGCTCTGGGAGAGGAAAGGTGGACTCCACACACCCTGTGCTCAGACACCTCTTGCCAGCCCAGTTGAGATTTCCACAAAGGTACCGAAGCCATTCACAAAAGCACACCATCCCCTTGGTGATTTTGTTTGGTTTGGGCTCTGTTACCCTGCACGCTGTGTTTGCCTGTTCTCCACAGCACTTGATGCAAAGTACCTTTTCCTCACAAATAAACGGAGGGCATTGACCACACACCCCCGGAGCTGGGACTGTCACAAACTGTGCAGCCCCAGGTAGCAGATGGAGGCCCTGAGCTAATGAACCATTTAAACACTTCTTTAACTAATTTTAAGCACTGAAGTAGTCCCACTTACAGCTCCAACTGGCCATTCCCCTTTGCTTCTAGATAACCTTTTAATGTTTCAAAAGTGATGGTGCTGCATTCAGAGCTATGGGATTTGATCCAGAAAAACCACGTGCGTTGAAATTCTGCTCGGCTCCCGAATTCTGAGAAAATCTTTGATGAAGAGAAGCAAGGAACGAGATAAAAGGGAGAGGATCCTTAAAGGTTTCAAGCCGCTCGAGGCTCTGCCTTTGGGGTAGTATTTTGTGACCAGGCTATTTACCAGCATTAATCTTCAGTGATTTGTGTTCACAATACAAGTCATTTGCCTGCCTGTGCTGGGTTCAGAGACAGCAGCGTGTCAATGGCAGAGCAGCTGCACCAGTCCAAGTGCACAGATGGTGAGGATGCAGCTCGATTCTTTCCTCCCTCTGTTTCCCTCCTATAATTTTCTTTTCTCCACCTCCCCCCCTCCAATTCTTTGTTGAGGGGGGTGGAGGGGGGGGGGGGAAGGAGAGCTACTTAGACCTCAACGCGCCTGAAGAGCAAATTTAATTCTCCTTCTAATCACTTCCTGAGTCCCTCTACTGGCAATCTGTCCTCACCCCAGACGGAAGGCAACTGCTGCTGCACAGCTGGCCTGGCACTGGCAGAGCTGGTGGGTGAATGGCAGGCAGGTGTGATGCTGGTTTGGCTCACCAGCTGCAAAGAAATCAAGGGAGGAAACCCTGCCTATGGGCCAAGCAGAGTGGGATTTGAAAGCTCTTCCTGCAGGATGGCCGGTGGTTTAATCAGAGCAAAGCCCAAGATGTATTTGTCCACTGATTCCTGGATCAGGCCAGTTGACACTTTTGCTACAGCTAAAAACTCAGTGCTAAGTAACAGATACCTTTGGCTACTGTAAATGCATGGGCATCACTTGACTTCGCATGTGTTCACATAAACCCTGCACTCAAAAGTCCTTCCAGACTTTGCCCAGCTCTGCAGCACCACAGTCCAAGCCCTGGCTCACCACCTGCAAAGCAAGACATGAGCACTGAGATTTGTTTGCAACACCAGAGTCACCATTCCCAGACACCTCCTGCCACCACCCAAAGCACCACAACCCATTTAGCCACCTCTCAGTAAGTAAAAAAACCCACAATAAATTAAGAGCTAAACTGAGTGTTGGTCTGAGAGGGATCTGCAGCACCAGCATGCTAAAGGTTTTGTTCCCAAGGTAGGAAGATGGGGGTTTTGCTGTAGTCAGCAAAACAAGGTGGTTTTAAAACATAAGCAAGTGTCTCTTAACTTCAAACATCCCTCGTGACTTTGCTCACCCTGACCAAGGGCATCACCTTCCAGCACTTTATTCCAGCACACCATGCCGTGCTGCTCAGTGGCCTGAACTGTCTTCAAATTCCACTAAATCTACTGTTTCTTCCTGTTCTTTATCAGCTTAAAAAATCTTCTCTGTTGCTGTCTCATTTGTAGGGGCAGGCAGGACACTGTCAAGACAGCAGATGCAGGAGTTTGAAAAAAAAACAAACAAAAATCAGTGGGAGGGGGGGACACCAAAGCAAATGGATTTAGTTTGCTTCTGCCTGGGATCTCTGAATGTGTGCACAGAGCTCTGGGGCAGCAAGCAGTAGCAATGGCTGCCTAAACTCCCTCATGCCCCTCCAGGAATTCTCCTAATCACTGTGGCCACCCCAAACCACAACCCACCTCTGGACTTCATATGGAATCATACAGTGCTGAAGAGTTGGGTCACACCCACAGATCAAACCACAGGGGATCCCACCCCAAGTTATGCAAATATTGCTCAGCAGGGCTCCTGGATAAAAAGCCATTCTTGGGTCTTTGGGAGTCAGAATGTATCTGATATATCAGAACATATCAGATATATCTTGCCAGGCTTTGGAAAGCTCAGGCTGAGAGAGCAGGAACCCCAAAAAGATGTGCCTGTCAGCTGTTCCAGCGGGCTTCATGATCATTCTCCACATTCCCTGCAAGAGCATGAAGGAAGGAGCATTCATGGATATGTCCCAGCTGTTTAAAGCCACATCCAACCCTCTCAGCAGCTGATGCTGATGGGATCACCCCACAGGGGCCATCCAGGGTCCGTCTGGACATGCCTTTTCCTGGCCCAAAGGAATGGCAAGCCCCACACACTTCTTCCACCAGCTGTGTCAGCATAAGAAAGACATCATCCAGACACCCAATGTGTCTTTCCAGGAGTCATATTCCATTTAATTCCCTAAACAAGGCTGCACCAGGCTCTAGGGAGGACACATGAAACCTGCAGAGGGGTGGTCACTGTTTCAAGAGCAGAGGCTCAGCCATCTGTTACCCATCATCTGTCTGCATGTTTACCCACATCTATCTGTGTACAGATGGGCACCTGCACAGAAAGCCACAGTAAAAACAAGGAATGCTTAGGAAAGAGCCCAGTTCAGTTAACTTGGAACCTCTGCTGCCTACAAAACCCACTCCAGGCTGGGGACTCCGAAGGGTTCAGAGCTCCACACACGGGAGTTTGTGCTCAGCAATGCAATGGTTTGCAAATTCAATGTGCTTTTCTCATTCTTCTTGCCATCATAGATTTTAGGGCCAGCAAGGAACTTTTCCGCTTTGCCCATCTGTGGGGGAACCAGAACATCCTTTTTTCACAGGATGAGGCCGATAATAGAATATCTTTATTTTTAAAGCGTTTTTCTTCTGTTGTTTAACACTGAATGGGGAAGCTGTTGCAAGAAGGCAAGGAAAGAAGACAGATAATAGGAGGGGCACATTCCTCCCAAGCATTCATCATCCCCCTCGCTTGAATGAGAGGAAAAGCAAAGCAAGGAGGAGAGGAAAGACCATCCATTTTTACCTAAACAGGCAGATCATGGGTAGTCTCTACAAACTTAAACTCTTACGGCTTCCCACAGCACAAGGATTGTTTCGGCAAGAGTGGTGCTCAGTTTTAATTCTTTCCCCCCTAAGCTGGAGATTTACTTTCTAAATGCTGCTAAAGTGGCAACTGAGAGCCTGGAGAGGTCTGAGTACAAGGCACTGAAGAGGAATTTCCCTCATTTAGTCATAAAAAGGAAATGTTAATATGCAGGGCAGGGTCTGCACTTGGTTTGGGGTTTGTACTCTGCCTAACAGGGTGGTTTTAATGCCTCAACCCAGGGGCTTAAAGGCAGAAAACCAAATCACCAATAAACAACTAAGGCAGATAAATAAGGGACTGGAACTATTTGTTAAGTAAGCATGACAAAGGCTACCAGAATTAGCATCTATTAGCATCCAGAACTTCCCATATGCTACAAAATAATTATGAGAGCTGGAATTAAAATGAGAACGATCAAGAAACCTTCATGGGAGTTTAGGAAAGACCTCGAAGTATTCAGAGGGAGATAACATATCTGCAATTCAGTTGCATCTCTCATGAAACATTGTTAAAAGCTCCATGAAAGGGAAATGAAGTTAACTGAATTTAAATCAGCTAATAAATATTCTTTTTCCAGCAAAAAAAAAGTCAAAAGAGATGATGCCAGGAGTGTATTACCAATGTTAAAAACTTGACCCTAAAAACAGCAGAAGAATTTATTGTACATGAAGATGCTAAGCATAAACCTTGCATCTTCTTCCTGGCTTCAAATCAAATATTCAGGTAAACTGAGAAGTCCCTGATGACTCTAACAAGGTACAGACAGTGCTGTAGATGAGAAAAATTCATCTTTTAACCTGGATTAGTATTTTCTCTCCTGTCTGTGTAATTGTAGACAATTCTGGTAGTCATACAAAACACACACTTAAGCCTGAGTATCTCCAGGAAATTGTTTAATAATGATTAATGAACAAAAGTCATGCAGAATAAAATGGAAAATCCACTCGTGCTGGAATTGTACATTACAGAATTAATTTGGGAAGCATGCTATAATGCCAAATTTGATCCATGCAAGCAAATCTCACTAGCTGGGGCCAACATCTGGCTTCTTATCTGAACCTTCCAAGCTGCTTCTCAGTTATACAAAACTGGCTTGGATATTTTATGAGACTCTCAAAATTTCCAATACTTTCTGTCTTCAGGGATGCCAGAATTACTACAAGAATGTCTTTTTCCTGGCACTTTGGAGTGATTCAGACCTCCCTGATGGGACACACTACAGCATAATTCATACCAGGAACTTTATTTAGGAGGAGTGGTTTTGTCATGCCAAGCCAAACCAATCATCTGTTAAGCCTGATAACCCACTGACAGCAGCCTCTGCCTAGTCCTCCAGAGCAAAAATGGAAATAAACTTAAAAAAAACCAACCACAAACCCCAGCAAAACAAACAAACACAACCACGAGCACAAAGCCATGATCACCACCACAGAGCAGTCAGGGGTGCACCAAGACTCTGTACAGGATCCGCAGGGCCCATATTTTAAAAACTAGTTGATACTACAAACCGAAACCATACCTGTGCAGACAGCAGTGGGTGCTTCCTCTCACAGGGAAAACTGGATGTGAAATTAATTTACTCATTGTAAGCAGTGAAAATCACCAAATGCAGTTTGCTGGTGTTTCCGAGATCAGGATATAAGTAGATAATCAAAGGAATAAGAAGTGGCCCTCTGTTCTTCCTGGAGAGAACCTCACCAGAATATTTTACAGAGAGAAAAATTAATATAGTGGTGAAAGGAAAACCAGCAGTACTGGATTACAGAGGGGTTGGATGAGCACATCCAAGCTGGGCTAACACGCTTTCTGGAAGATCACTTAACTTCTCTCAGCTTTCTCATCTCCTTTGCAACCAAGACAACAAAATTTCACAGCTCCTTTTCTTCTAAATCTCCAACATCAAATGGACAACACAGGAAGTGAAAACCTTGTACCAAGTCACCAGATGAGGAAATTCTGGGACTCAAGTTACACTTAATTAAAAGAGGCTCATCCTTAAGCCAGCTTTGTAAACTCTTTTCAATGTTTTCCCTGCCTACCCTCCAATAAACCATTCATGCTGAAGACAAACAGTCTCCAGTTTTTAAAGCAGCCACTGTGAATCAGAATAAAAATACTCCTCCCTATCCAGCAACAGCACACCATCTTGGAGCCCTTATAACTCCACCTGTTCTGCAGGATAAGCATGTCTAATTTATATAACTCTGGTTTATTCTGGGATACAACGAGAAATCTAGTGGAGGAATGATGGCATGTTATAACACCAAACCTCAGGGGTCTGATCAAGCTTTTCATAAGCTGACCCACCTTGAATCTGAAGAGAGAAGTTACAGCACACAGTAACACCATAACAAACAATTAAGTTCAAAATTACAACATCTTTATATTCTTGGAACCACATTCTAAAAAACAACCCCGAAGAAAGTGATTAAATCCAAACACAAGCAAAGACAAGATCTTGGACTGAAGACCTGCTGGGGCTGACCCAAAGCTGCAGCATCTTCCACATTTTGGATCATAGTCCTCAGCCCTTCCATTTATGCATCCATTGATGCATCACCTACAACATTTATGCATCCATAAAGATGATGCATCCATTTATGCATCACCTGCAACTTCAGCAGAGCTGCACAACCCTTAGAAGTGGCTCTTCACACTTAGGCAAGAACTCAGTGTTGTGTCTAGTCTCAGCAAAGGAAGATGTAAGAATATCCAAGAATATCCATTAATTTTTTTTTCCCCCACCAATAATGGCTGGAACATAAAGCAGGAAAACACCCTGAGCCTGCTGCTTTCCAGCTTTTCCTCAAGAGGAGAATCCCACATGGGTCCAAGGACACAAATGAACAGTCAATGCAAACCCAGCAATATTTCCAGCCTGGCCTGCTGAGCTCCCCACAGGAGTGTCTTCCATCACTTCCCTACTCCCATTTTCCCTCCCCACGTGATCAGAACAGCATTTGTTTTATAGAATAATGGCCTAAGTGTCAGCTGCCAGCAAGATAAGTGATCAAATATTTCCTAGATCAGCAGCTAAGGATGGAATAATATTTATTCATTCATCCAGTCCATCTCCTTCCATACAGCAGGCA